ATAGATATCGCACTCCATCAATTATATTCAATTATCTGCCGCATAGCTTTTCTCATAATGTTTTTCCCATTTTATCAATTGTTTTCGCCTATTTGTCGCATAGTTTTTCACATTAATTATCTTAGCTTGTTTATCGCATATTTTATTTCATAATTTTTAGCAGTTTATTAATTATGTTCGGCTGTTTGTCGCATAGTTTATAGCATAAATGTTTTGCATTTTATCAAGTATCTTGGCTTGTTTGTCGCATACCTTTTCGCATAATGTTTTTTACTTACAAATTATGTTTGCCCGCTTTTTCACATAGATTATTACATAACTAATTGGCACTTTATAAATTATCTTCGGTGTGTCGCATAGTATTTCGCATAATTGCTTCACACTTAATCAGTTACGTTCTCTTATTTGTCGCACAATTTATCGAATAATTGTTTCACCATTTATCAATTATCTTCATCCGTTATGGCATGGCCTATTGCATTATTGTTTCGTGCTTTATCAAATTTCTTCGATAGTCTGTTGCGTAGCTTATTATATAATTTATTCGCATTTTATGGAGAGAAAAAACTAACTTTTTTTTGGCGGTATGTAAAACTTATTTTTTTCTTCACACACGAGGTGAAAATAGTTATTTCTTCTAATATTTTTTTGTCACTAGTCATTTATTTTTATCGTTTGATGATGATTATTATTATTTACGTTGATGGCAGTGATTATGAATAAAGTTTTTTAACTACTAAAGTTTATATTTAGGGAAGCATTTTTAATTGTAATAAAAAAAATCATTCTAAATTTTATTATCTCAATACATGTTTTATTAATATTTTTTCTTATTTAAATTATAATTCACCCCATACTAATCTATATATATCTATATATATATATATATATATATATAATTGTTGGCTATTCATTTTATTCATTTATTACAAAAGAAAAACTTTCCCACCTAAAATTTTCAGTTTTTTTTAATAAGTTTCAAGTTTCATTTTGTTTGTGTTTACTTCTCTAAGTTAGTAATTAATATTCTAATATTCAATAAAAATTGTAATGGTTATGCCTAAAATTAATATGCTTACACCATTTGTTAATTTGATAAGTAATATTATATATTTTATGTAACAATTATAATATTGTAACTATATATATATATATTCCTTTTGAAAAAAATAACTATATATTTCCCTTCTTTTTTGTACATTTATTTAAAATTTGAATTTTAATTACTGATGCTTATTTTTTAAAAATCCCCCCTATATATTAATTCAGAACGCGCTGAACCTACGTGGCTGCTTCTGGTGCTTCGGAATCCTATGTGGCAAAATTACATGCTTCGTTATTAGGCTTGGATAAGTTTTAATTTATTTCTAAATAAAAAATAATTAGGTTCGGATTACCATAAATATGTTGATTATTTATGGTCATGTTACATGCATTAATTACATTTTAATATCATTCCTTGTTATAACTATTGAATTGTATATATATTTTAAAAGTTAATAGCTTTTGTATTTTTTATCAGTTTTACATATGTAATATATCAAATTAATCTTCTTTTGATGAGCTTCGATTTAACACCCATATCGTATGTATAAAAAATTAATTTATATTTATCTTTATAACAATATTAAAATTATTTTTAATATTAATTAAAAAATAAAATTATTTATCAACTAATATATTTATATTTCAAATAGTTATATGATTTAAGTTATAAAAACTAATATAATATAACACATGTAAGTCATAAGTAACACATATCATTCTAAAATATATAATAATATATTTTTTTTGTAAAAAAGTAAATTAAATTTAATATAGTTTTCTCATTAATTTTAAAATTTAATAATAATTTTTTAACAAGCACCCGTGTAATACACGGGTGTTGTACTAATAACATTAGTAAAACAAAACCGATTTTAAGACAATTATTATAAGCAAGGAATAGATTTTGAACGTTCCTTATAAATTTAAAAATTAAACCATAACCATATCAGTTATTTTGTGTTTCTAATTTGTATGGATTCCATTATATGAACTACACACACATATATGTAATAAGGTAGATTAATGTAGTTTTATCAACTTATGTCATTTGCTATATTTTTATTTTAAATGTTGTAACATACATAAAATATTATACATTAGTCTATTGATTGAAATGCAATGGTTCCTTAGCTGCATTAAAAAAAAAAAAAATCTTATTATTATGTCTAACAAGTGGTTGTGATATTTAATAATAACTAAATATTTTTATTATCAAATTAATACCTACATTTATTTTACTATATAAAAATATTATTTATATAATATGTATGATAATTCTCCGAAATAAATCAATCTATATAGTGTATAAGATTTGTGTTATCAAGTTCAAATATATATTTTTTTACTTACTTTGAGAATATTCTTTTTATTATTAATATAACATTAAAAGTATACAAAAATTACATTATTCATTATATTCATATAATAATAGTCATCTTAATATATGCTTAATTCTACGTTTATATTATTTTTTTTATTGAAGTATAAAATCCAGTATAAAATAATATAACGTAATAGTTTAATCATAAATGTGATACATATTATTAAATATTTTTTTATTTTAATTGAGATTTTTATATAAAATATATATTTTTTCTGCATGTACACAAGATTAATACTAGTACTAATACTAATATATTAATAATCATAAAACTAGTAAGAGGTCAAGACCGTGTTATGGTGGAAATCAATATCTTGGTTTGGAAAATATTTCGGTGATTGCTTAAATGAATCGAAAAAGCGGGCCCCACTTGCGAAGCCTAGTCTTCGTTTCTTTCTTCCCTCTCATCAGATCTGAATAAACAGCCTGACAATTTTCACGTTTTAAATCCCTAAAACCAAACCTCAACGCCTCCACTCCTACAGTTTGCCAGAGGAAACCTCGTACTGTTGCCTCTCTCTCTCTCTCTCTCTCTGTTCGTAGGTTTTCCGGCGAGATGGGTTTGGTGGGCGTCCAAGAAAATGGGGGTTCGGAAATGGGGTTGAGTTTGGGAACCAAAAACAAGTACAGAAGAATGGATTCGCAGCCGACGCAAGATGATGATTCCGATGCTTCAGATCAGGCGGCGGAGGAGAGGAAGAAGACGACTAGGAAATATGTCTTTGCCTGTTCTGTTTTCGCATCTCTCAACAGCGTTCTCCTCGGATATGGTACAACGTTTGTCTTTTTAACATATCATTTCGATTAACGTTCTTGTTATTTGGTAAAAGCTATGATTTTTCCCGATTTTGATTCCGGATAATGGCACATTTACGAATTTTCAAATTCGATGGGGAATGAAATAGAACGGGTAAATGGAATGTCAACGTTTTCTGATGCCCAGATCCTATTTTGCTTACAAGGTCGATCTATTTTGGGTAGAGATTTTTGTTTACAGATTTAGTTGCGGGTCTATCGGTTACAGAATTGATGCAGATTGTTGTATGTAATTGATGATTCTTGATTTTATATACAGATGTCGGGGTTATGAGCGGGGCTGTCCTCTTCATCAAAGAGGACCTGAAGATAACGGAAGTGCAGGTCGAGATCCTGATCGGAATCCTGAGCGTGATGTCCCTTGTCGGAAGCCTTGTTGGCGGACGCACATCAGACGCCGTGGGACGCAAGTGGACCATCGGCCTTGCAGCCGTCACCTTCCAGACGGGGGCCGCCATTATGGCATTCGCCCCTTCCTTCACAATCCTCATGCTCGGCCGAATCCTGGCCGGCATTGGCATAGGCTTCGGAGTCATGATTGCCCCAATCTACATTGCAGAGATATCTCCAGCCGTGGCACGTGGCTCCCTCACTTCCTTCCCGGAGATCTTCATCAATTTCGGCATCCTCCTCGGCTACGTCTCGAACTACGCTCTCTCCGGCCTTTCTCCGCACATCAGTTGGCGCGTCATGCTTGCAGTCGGCATCCTCCCTTCGGTTTTCATCGCCTTTGCCCTCTGCATCATCCCCGAGTCCCCGAGATGGCTCGTGATGCAGGGCCGCGTGGACGAGGCACGCATCGTCCTCCACAAGACCAACGAGAGCGAATCTGAAGTCGAGGACAGACTTGCCGAGATCCTACTCGCCGCCGCCCCAGAGACCACCGAATCCAAGGCCGTGTGGAAGGATCTGATGAATCCCTCGCCGGCGCTCGGGAGGATGCTGATAGCGGGCTGCGGAATCCAGTGCTTCCAGCAGATCACGGGGATCGACTCGATCGTGTACTACAGCCCGGAGATCCTGACGGCGGCGGGGATGGAGGACAAGTCGAAGCTCCTGGCGGCCACCGTGGCTGTGGGGATCTCGAAAACGGTGTTCATACTCATCGCCATTCTTCTGATCGACAAGGTGGGGAGGAAGCCTCTGCTGTACGTGAGCACGGTGGGGATGACGTTCTGCCTGCTCACACTCGGCGCGACGCTATCTTTCATGGGGCATGACGGGTCGGCAGCGAGCATCGGGATGACCATCCTGTCCCTGTGCGGAAACGTGGCCTTCTTCTCCGTGGGAGTGGGGCCCATCTGCTGGGTGCTAACTTCCGAGATATTCCCTCTGAGAGTGCGGGCGCAGGCGTCGGCGCTCGGGGCAGTGGGGAACCGAGTGTGCAGTGGGTTCGTGGCCATGTCGTTCCTGTCGGTCGCGGACGCCATCAGCATGGGGGGGACATTCTTCGTGTTCACGGCCATATCTGGACTCGCGGTGGCTTTTGTGTACAAGTGTGTTCCGGAGACGAAGGGGAAGTCGCTGGAGCAGATCGAGATGCTGTTTCAGGATGGGTACAAGAGTGAAGTTCAGCTCGGGGACGCCGAGCATTTGGTGAGGAAACAATCTGGACCTGGTGTTTGAACTCTCCCACCAGATTGTTTCATCACCACCTCATTTTTTCCCACTGCTACAGATATGCTTCTCATGATAAAATCTGGGTCTGCTGCTGCTGCTCAATTATGATTATCTGTATAGTTTATTCTTTTGTGGGCTTATACTTTGTAATGTATACTCTATATAGAGTTGTGAGTTGATTGACTAGGCCTTGCGGGCTTCTTCTACGCCCCTCTTATACGAATGCTGAAGCATTACCATTCAAGTAGTAATAATGTATTTCTGCTGTTGGTTAAGATTTCATCTCTGTTTACTAAAATTGCAATTTTGTCATTATTGCCAAAATTGCATTTTTGGTTATACTGATTTAACAATGTAGCATTTTAAGTTCCAATTTTTTTGCCTTTTGATCATGTAATTTAGTATTTTGTTGCAATTTCAATCATTCGAGACTGAAATTGCATTAAAATTTAAAATTACAGAACTTAAATTGTTAATCAAAAGATTTTTTAATTAGCATTTAAGTTCTGTAATTTTAAAATTTGTTGTATTTTCAATCTCCAAAAATTGAAATTGCGTTGAATTTTAAAATAAAATAACTAAATGGCAAAAATGTTCAATTTTTAGGATAAAAAAGGTTGGATCAAAACAACATGACTAAAATTGCAATTTCACCATTATTTTATTATGATGATGGGACTTCATTGGACAAGTGATTAAAGTGGATCCGTTTCATCAATCATTTGATTTTACAAGTATATATAAGGTAAAAAGAATACATATAAACAAAATTTTATTCCAAAACTTTCACTTCTTCTTTAATAATTACATAATTTGTTTAATTTAAAAAACACTGTTATACATTTATTTTATTTTATTTTTATTATAAACAACTCAAACGGGAACAAAGCTCAAATATTAAAGCATGCTATGGGTTTAGTTAAATTAACAAGTTTTATCATGACCTATATTAGTCTATATTAATGGAGCATGATTAGTTAATTAGTGAACAATGTGTACACCGCTGTGTTTCATTTGAGTTCAAACTAAACACATTTGATGTACTCACTTTTTGCTATGTGAGGTCAGATGAAATTCGTTTAATTAAGTTGGTTCTTTTGTGGGCTCAATTGAAAAAACCAAATTACTTGGCTTAAGCACTTATCACACCTCTCTTCTTATGTTACAATGTCAAAGTTAAGAGAATGTATTGTTTAAACACTAAGGTTGTTGTTAGGCTGATATAAACAACTGATATAACGGGTAAGCATCCATACTTTTTGAGAAAATATTACTTTTAAACTGACATGTCATACTTTACAAAACAACATAAATAAAAAATATGCTATTTAACATCATAAGTATGCATTTCTATAGAAAAAATATGATGAGTTCGTGCATTCTATAGCGCGGATAGGTCTGTGCAAAGTTTGATCGAAATCGACCGAAAAAAGAATTAGTTTGATTTTTTTATATGGCGATTCGATTATTGGTTTTTAAATTTAGAATCTAAGTTATTCGGTTCGGTTTCGACTTTATTTTTAGTAGAAACAAATAATCGAACCAACCGAACTAGGTAAAAATATTATTTTTATATGTTATGTACATATTATCTTTTCTCAATCAAAAAAATATAAATTATTAAATGAAAATACTAAAATACTAATTATGTTTTATAATACAAATAATAATTTATTTATGTTATTCAAGTTAAATCGATTAACCGACCGAATAAACCAATTATTTTGGTCCGGTGGTAGTTTTGTTCGGGATAAAAGTTCGGTGGGTTCGGTTTTTCAGAAAGTTCGAACCAGTTATTCAGTTTTGACATTTCGGACCGTCGGTCAAACCGAATCAACATCAATATTGTGCATTATGTGTCGCGTTGACATTTTTGTTACATAACATATTTAATGTGCATATACGCACATGCTATTGTGAACTTTATTTATAAATTATAGATTGCACCCATGAACTAAATTATAATATGTTGAAATTTCTAAAATTTCAACTAAGTCCCTGAGACTTATTAAATTTTCAGAAGGAATCCTCCATGCCCAAATCAGATCGTACGATCTCCACTCATGTTCCTCCGCCACCCCGTCGATAGCATTATGTTCCTCCGTCGGTGAACCTGACCTCTGTCAATAGCAACACGGCGACCGACACGCTCCACCCAACACGACGCCGCTGCCGTCCCCAAAGGCAGCTGGAATAAGAACCCCAAGCAGCTCACCTGGGTCATCCTCCTCAAGGCCCACCGCACCGCCGGCTGCCTCGCCACCGTCGTAGTCAAATTTTTTCCCTCGCAGTCGCCGTCCGCCAAACACAACTAGGACAGGGGCGGATCTAAAAAAACTTTTCGAGGGTACTAGAGCGGTTAATCGGATAAAATTGTCTGCGAACACATCTCGTTCTGATTAACAAACAGTCAAACTCAACTTGTTCTTATACTTAAACAACTAATCTTGGACACTAAATCGAATTTGTGTATTACCTGAGTTGAGTCTTACTTGTTTAGTGAATGAGTCAAGTCGAGTGACTCATTTATTAATCAAACACGAGCTTGAACGTGAGATATTTAGCTTGGCTTGACTTGAATAATAGCTTTAGAGATGATATATAATTTTTATAACACACACACACATGAATACAGTTTAATTTATATTAAATTGATAAAATAAGTAATAAAAATATTGTAGAAAAGATATACCTTATGGACGTTGGTATTCTAAAATTGTGTTTGATATTATTTCATTTCACGATATTCATTAATAATTGATTTAGTGTTAGTGTTAATAATTCATGGATGTGGGCATTTACAGATGTAGGAACACACATCTATGATGTTTATGTGTCAAAAGACACATTTGGGGACGTGCACAGACACATGTGAAAGCCAAAAGACAGCTTATGGACACCAAGAGGCACGATCCATAGCGGACCACGACTAGCATTGCGTTCGACGACTGAAATTGGTCACGAGCAGCGCGAGCAAGCGTCACAGTCATTGCAGACCGCGATAGAGCCAAATACATGTTCGTGCACAGTGAGTTCTTACAAGCTCTTGCAGACTTAAAATCGTGCCCGATTTTTACAACTCGTCCCCAACGAATTCTATTAGGGTTCTAGCACGTCTAGTGCATGATTATAACTCGTTTGACATGTCCAAACATCAGTAAAAAAAAAATGTTTCTTGACCAGCGATCTTTCTGTTACTTAAATTCAAACTTTTTAGATTCACACTTATATTTTTCCACATATATAACTTAAAATAAACATAAAATGATATTTATAATTTTTTAAGCCTTTCATCGACAAAAAAAAAAAAAACCGTAAAAATAGGTTCAAAACCAATTATCTTACGTTATATACTAAAACTAGTGAAAATCCCGTGCGATGCACGAGGATTTCGTAATGTAAACCATTTTTGCAAAACTTTATTTTAACAATGTATTAGCCCGTTGATCCATCTATATTAATATAAATAACATTTTAACATATATATTTATTTTTAATTACAAAAAATAATTTTTTTACATATTTTGGTTCATCATAATACTTAATATTATTTTATTCAAAAATTTATTGTCGTATGATGTCAATATTATTTATAACTGTTGTAAATAATTTTACCGGAGTAGAATTCAAAGATTCGACACCGGGTCGTAACACGAGGAAGGTTAGCCGGAGTATTCTGTACGTATATTCAATCACACCAAATAAAAGAAAAGGTCCTAAACACTCTATTCGATTGGTTTGGTTTAATATTAATCAACTACGAATTTAAGAACAAGTAATAAGGAAAACTAGACAAAAC